GGGCTCAAGTAAAGGTAAAACATACACATTTCAGGATGATGAGGGGCCAGTGCTCTGTGAAGCTCTGCCTACAGACGATGCGAGGAGAGGGCAGCATTGTTCCCCTGGTGAATAGGAGGAGTTTCCCAAAGAAATGCAGGTTAGAAATCTATTCAGGACTTTGGTTGCATTTTTTAAACCAGAATTAAATATTTAGCATTCTTTTATCCAATGCTACGGAAGAGAGAGACCAGGGTGGAGTGCATACTCCAGTGCTCACTAAACACAGGGTCCTGGCAAGCATCACATTTCTCTGAATTTCTGAGTAGTCAAAACGCATGAATGCTCCCTCCATCCACACTTAGAGATGGTAGCACGTGATTTACAGGTTGAAAATAAAGTGAGAAGGCTAGTTTTCTCCTGGTACAACTACAATTGCTGTTTAAATCTCCTGTCTTTCACCTGTGTCCGCTTAACAATCTCTTTCCCTCTTTATACGACCTTTTCTGTCTCTTCCCTACTCTAATTGATTGAAGATTCTCATGGTTTCTATAGATCGTTCTAATATTTCACCAGACATTTATGTTTCCTTGTAACCTTTCAGTTCTACGTTCCTCATTGTCCAGCTTCCCTCAACCAACTTTCCTGTTGCATGTATGACTCTCATATTGTAAAGAAATGAACTGGTGTGCAAGGTCTGCTTAGGGGTTTGATAGAAGAACCTTGGGTAGACTTGGGCTTTATACCCAGTGTGTGTCTAACCACATGGTTGCCCTTTGGTCTGGTTTAGCCTCTGATTCTCATATTACACATATCCCATATCTACATATTGAAGATTCTATAATATCTACATATTGAAGATTCTAATGCTTCTCTGAAGGGCGAGGGCAGACTGCATAAACACCTCCAGCACAGAGCCACAGGGCAGTCCTTCCACAGTCCATGGGCATAACTGCGGCCCATCCTTCCTATTGATTGTTGCAAGAAAACCAGTGACTACCTTTACAATTACATAACTTCTATTATAACAGCCATTAATAAACAACTATGCGGGTAGTAATACAGAATTTCTCTTTCATTTGACTTAAAATATTTATATACTTCAAATTACTTTTTTTTTTTTTTTTAAAGATAGGGTCCTAGCTCTGTCACTTAGGCTGGAGTGTAGTGGCAGGATCATAGCTCACAGCAGCCTCAAACTCCTGGCATTAGGCAATCCTGCCACCTCAGCCTCCTGTGCAGCTGGAACTACAGGCACATGCCACAATAGCTGGCTAGTCGTTTACATTTGATCTTAGCCAAAAGCCCAAGAAGTGATAATACCTGGCTAATTAAAAAAAAAAAAATTGTAGGGACAGGGTTTCACTATGTTGTTCAGGCTGGTCTTGACCTCTTGGTCTTAAGCGATCTTCCCAACTCAGCCTCCTAAAGTGTTAGGATTACAAGCCTAAGCCACCAACACCCTGCTGTAATTTGACAATTTAAATTGCAATCAATAGTTTTTTGAACTTCATAATAAATGCATGTTAAATCCTCAAAAATAGAATTATACTTTCTTTCTGAGTATGAGGGAGACAATCCCTACCTATATCAATCCTTACAGAAGCATATACAATTTTTGTGAATAAGGAAAATAAAACATCTAAAATCCCTGCTACTTTCCCCAGAGAATGCCCTTTCCTCTTCCTCTTTTTAAAAAAGCAGCGAGCAAGCCTGGCTCCCAGCACAGCGGGTCTCACTGCCTTGCCAGCTCTCCTGGTTCCTGAGGAGACCTTGCTCAAGGTCAGCTGAGATGGCCTCAGAGGAGCCACACCTGACTGTACTCCTGGAATCTGGGCTCTGAGTCATTCTCTTGGCAAACTACTGATCTGGGGAGAGGCAAAAGTCAGGGGTGCTGGCATGAGAGGATGATATGAGTCACGGACGAGGTACAAACCTCTCATTCTGGAGGACCAGCTTTAGGAAACGCCGAGTTAGAAAAAAAGGTGTCGGAAAAACCAACCTGAACTTTCAGTCAGGCCCATTTAACATACGAAATAAATGTGCGAGGGTTGTTTTTACTCCGATCAATTTCTCAAGCATCTAGCACGCACCATGTTAAAAAGGCAAAAATCTGGAGAGAAGTTCTGAAAAACGAAACTTTCAAGGAGAAACTGACTTTATCAATTACATAAGTTTGAATAAGATAACAAAGAACTAAAAACAAAGGAAGCCTTCAAGCTTATTTCCTGAAATTGTAATTACATGTGTAATGCACAGAAATTGGTGTTTGTGTATTCCTTTAAAAATGACTTACATATATACATTATTCAGGATGTTTCATGCTCTATGATTAAAAAAAAGAAAAAAACTCAAAAAAGTTTGACCAAAAGAACATTACAATATCATTTTATTTCATGACTTCAGTTGCCTTTTAGTTTCCTTAAACAAGGAGCCACATTTAAAAAGACCAGTGTGTGCTCTAAAAACAAAATAATCTAGTTATCTTAAACTCATATATTGACAGTAGTGAAAATTTAATGGCGATAATAATGCATATGTATTCATAAGGTTGCTTAACTGTAATTTAAGAACCTAAGAAAGAAAAATGTTTTAATGAACCTTAAATGCAATAATAACCTGAAAGTTATATTTGGATATGGATAAGAAACAAATTATCCTTTTCACAACATTCTTAAAGCACTTTAAAAAATGTTTCAATCTATTTATGGGAAAGCTGATAAAAAGTCAAAGTAACTTATACACATTGACTTAAGGTTATTTAAGAATTAGGTATTGGGGCTAGGATTTATGCCTGCAACCCAGGTGACACTGTGTTGGTGAGTCACCTGGCTGAGTTCTTTCTAACCTTCCTTGCCTAGGTAAATAATAGTATTGGTAGAGCTCAAGCCAATTACTTTATGTCTGTGAAAGTAACTGACTGTCTTCTCTGGATGGTTTACGCTGATGGGGAGAGGGGTCTGCCCCTTCTTGCATGCCTAGGCTACATCAGGCATCAACACTGCTCTGTCTTGTTACCTCCCCTATACCCCCACTGCCTAGCTGCTCTTCTTACTTGGCATATGAGAAACTGAGGCTCACAGAAGTAAAGCAAACCATCCCAGTCCCTCCAAATGGATGACTAAGCAGGCGAGCTGAGATGATAGCCAGGCCTACTCTGCAGTTCTTCCCCAGCCACGAGCACTGCAAACTCAACTGCCATTAGCAACCCTCCCGGTGAGCAGAACGTCTTGCAGCCATGTATGAAAGAGGCGGGGTGTTGGGATCACAAGAAGGACCACCATGTCCTGCTTTGCTCTGACTTCCCAGTTCTAGCACTGAAAGTCCCATGTCCCAGGAAACCCCTCAGTCATGGGCAAACCAGGATGGCTGAGTTCCTTAGAATGGTGCAGAATGAAAAACACGGGCCTACTGGAAGGCATTCCCTCCTAAGTCCACTGCACTTGGGTGCAGTCCTACAACCTCAGCTCCACAAGTGCTGGTGATGGCAGATGCAAAGTTGCTTCCAGCCAACAGGAGCCCAGGATTTCGTATTAGAGCTTCTTATAGCTGAGATAAGACGATAAGTAAGATGGCGATAAGAGTGAGAGACTTTAGGGTACAGCACTGAGGGGTATTATTGGCTTTCTCTTTAATTCCTATTTCTACAGATTGCAGAGTTCTGCCTGGCACAGGCTGATTCTTATCTGTCGGCCTAAGTTTGATTCAAAGGTTCTAGAAGAGCGATCACATCACCTAACAATATCCTGCATAATGCAATAATAATAAACTACAAAATGTATGGCTTACTATATAAGCAAGCGTACTTTACAAATGGATGCTAGGAAGGAAGCTGGAGGAAGGCTGTCAATCAAATCCAAGCATGGGGCCACTCAGAATGTGGAAACGGAGGCTGAGGCTTTGTTCTCCCAAGGGTTGCTCTTTACACTCCTAAACTCACTGTGGACATGAGGTAACTGGAGACTGTCTTTATTTTCCTAAACATTTCTAACCTCCGCATTTGGTGGTATTAAGCTCTCAGTCCCTCCATATAAGAGGGAACCATCTGTCCTTCGACCACCGTTCTCTGCTTCCTCAGCTCCTTCCTGGAAGATAGTCTGGCTGTAGGAAGAGACCTGGAAAAAATGTTTCCAGACTCTCCATCAGCTGTGGGGACCAGAAAGGAGTCCTGGGAGTGGTGTGAACGCAGAGAAAAGCACCGTGCCATTCCCAGGTCTGTTGGCTAGCCATTCTCCAAAGATGCTCCACCCACTCAGTCTCAGTTCCTGGACTGGAATTCAAGTTCTTCTCTTTCAACCCTGCCTCTATTAAGGGGCCAGCTTGTAAAGATCTCTCCTAGTCACCCACTCCCAGTGCCTTTGCTGCTAACCCTGCACCACCATCTCATTCCCCAAGCACAGACAGTGAACTTCTGGCCAGGCCAGGTGGCTCATGCCTGTAAGTTCAACACTTTGCAAGGGCGAGGTGGGAGGACTGCTTGAGGCCAGGAGTTAATACCAGCCTAGGCAACATAGCGAGACCCCATCTCTACTGGAAAAAATTTAAAAACTCAGCCGGGCATGGTGGTGCACACTCATAGCCTTACTCAGGAGGCTGAGGAAACAGGACCACTTGACCCCAGGAGTTCGAGGCTGCAATGAGCAAGGATCACACCACTGCCCTCCAGTCAGAGCAATAGAGCAAAAACTCCATTTCTGAAAAAATAAAAAAAAATTGTTAAAACACAGAGGACTTAAAAATTCCTGGGAGACTACCCAATAAATAGCAAACAGCATTTAACAAACTAACAACTAGCAGATATGTAGAAGGTGTATCATGAAACCCCCTGGAAAGGCAAATGGCCATCACTGATACTTTGGTCCTGGCAAGGACCTCAAAGGTGGGACTTTCTTTTTTTTTTTGCCCAACAGCAAAATATCTGAAACCTCAGCTTCTTTGTCTTAGTGCAATAATGACACAGGTTTTCATAGAGAATCAATACTTTCTTCTCAGAATGGATCAAAGCAAAGCAATATGCTTACCTGAAAGGGGAATGAGTATTTTATGGATGGTAGGCTGAGGTCACAGGAACGCTGTCCTTCCTTAAAATGCTCTCTGCAGCAGGAAATTGCTAAAATCAAAGGAAGAAAAGACTGCTATTGCTTTTTAATTTGATAAAAATAGGCAGGCTATTAAATACATTTAGCTATAACCAATGGTAATTCTCTTAAAAATTAGTCAATACAGGCTGGGTGCTGTGCTTCACACCTGTAATCCCAGCATTTTGAGAGGCTGAGGCAGGCAGATCACTTGAGGCCAAGAGCTGGAGACCAGTCTGCCCAACATGGTGAAAACCTGCCTCTACAAAAAGACTCCCAAGAAACAACCATTAGTTAAACGTGGTGGGGCTGCTCAAGAGGCTGAGGCACAAGAATCGCTTTAACTTGGGAGGTGGAGATTTCAGTGAGCTATCATGCCACTGCACTCCAGCCTGGGTGACAGAGAGAGACTCTGTCTCAAAAATAATAAAAACAGGCTGGACACAGTGGCTCACACCAATCTCAGCACTTTGGGAGGCTGAGGCGGGCAGATCACAAGGTCAGGAGTTGGAGACCAGCCTGACCAACATGGTGAAAACCTGTCTCTACTAAACAAAAACACAAAAGTTAGCCAGATGTGGTGGCTCACCCTGTAATCCCAGCTACTCAGGAGGCTGAGGCAGGAGAATTGCTTGAACCCAGGGGATGGAGGTTGCAGTGGGCCGAGATTGCACCCCTGTACTCTAGCCTGGGTGACAGGGCCAGACTTGGTCTCAAATAAATAAATAAATGAAAATTGGTCAAAATATTTTTTTAAAAGACAGTAAACATGGTAGTACACCAATATGTATTATTTTTTACAACTTCATTTGGAAACTGTTTTGTTCACTGCAACTACTGTTTCTTTTTTAAAGGAGACATTTTTCCATAGATAGCAATTACGCTATAACATCAAGTTGTGATGAGTCGCATAAATAACGCTTTACATGACATCACATCTTATTTCCAGGACTGTGAAAGAGTGTTACAGTTTCAAGGGGCCTCAGTGCCCTTGGTACACACTCCCCATCTGCAGAACCGGAAACAGAGGCCCACTCAAGGTGAGGGGCACCGTAGCACCACTCAGCTGGCTGGGGCAGAGCTCGTGATTGCCACAGGAGCACTCTTCATCTGCACTCTAGCACCCCATGCCAGGAATCATTAATTCTCTTATTCATTCAACAGGTACTGACTGAACACTTTCTATGGACCAAGTACTGTTCAAGGCTCTGGAGGTTAAGATGAAAAGTCTCTCACCTCATGGAGTTCACATTCCACAAAGGGGAAACTAAAGAAATAAACAAATACAGTAAATACGATCTCAGAATATCCCACCGAGGTGGCTCCGTTAGAGCGAAATCCTGCAGGCAGTGGGGGAACAAGCCATGGGCTTTCTGGGGAAGCACATTCCAGGCAGTTGCAGGAGCAGCAGCACCACTCTCTTTGCTGTTCAAGGGGCACAGGAGGTCAGTGTGGCTGTGAGTGTAGGGGATTGGTGGACACTGGGTGGCAAAGGATGGGCCCACCAACGAAGAGCAGGTGACATGGACAGGCAAGCTGATGAAGGTCAGAGCATTGGAGAATAGCTACTTAAAGGAGGGTAGCAAAGGAGACGGGAAAAAACAAACCAGAGACAAAAGAGCAATGGAGAACTGCTTCCTGTCCCGGAGGTCTGCTGCTGGGTCAGAGAGCTGCTCTAAGGGGCTACCGTTCAACTCAGGCAGTGGGGTGGGGTACGGAGGGCAGGAAAAGTAAAGGCTGTCCATTTTACAGGGTTCGAAAAAGTAAGTGTGGAAGCCAGACTAGGGTAACACATGACAGAAGTAGGAGGATTTCCTGACTGCAGGATCTGTAAAAGTAGAAATGCAAGATCTGTTTCCACGTAGAGATTTGACTCGTGGTAAGATCTAGTGCAATTAGGTCACCTCTAAAGTGGACTTTGCCTACAAATTTGGCAAGATTTAAATTGAAATCCAATTACATGTATTGGAAAAGCAGATGGCTTCAAGGTGAAATTCAACTGTTATAATCCAGTCTCAAATTTTACAAGCTTGGCTTTAATGAGCACATAGAAGATAAATGACTTTCAGGAGTCCATGGGCAGCCAAGAGCAAATGACAATTCCTGCCAATGCAAACAATTCCAAAAGTAATCACTAAATTACTTCGAGTATAATAGCAATCAAAGTGTTTGGTGATTCATCTAAGATGCATTTCTAAATCCTGGGAGAAAACTTCCAATTCCCATGTGATGTAAATCTATTAAAACATATTTCCATGCACCAACCTAGTGTGTATTCTGAGATGAGTTAGCAGGGAGAAGAGAAATGATACTTTGCATGTATTAAAGTCAGTACAAAATATGAAAACAGAATATGAAGCCATGCCAGCTCCAACTTATTGTTGAGTTGTGGATGTGATGATGTCAAGATGGGCAGGAAATAGTAAGTTCGGGATTGGGCACCATCTCTCTTTTCCTGAGAAAGGCCTCCCTGGCACCCCTCACCCCCTTTTTAAAAAAACTGGTTGCCTCTCCTTGGTATCACCAAGCTATGTCTCTCTGTCTGCCTCTTGTACCCCTATAATTATTAATTTAGCGGCCTTTCTTTCTCAGTAGTCACTTCTTACAGGAAGGGACTATGCCTTCTATTTTCTCTCCATTAAGCTTAGCACAGAGCCTAACACATGGTGACTGGCCATGATCATAGAATACTACAATGAAAAATAACCACACTTAGATGAGAGGCCCACTATCCCTTTACATATTTTTTTCCAATCCAGGCAACTTTAACAGATCAACCCTGAAATATTTGTCAATTGCTAATGACAAATCTCTTTCAGGTTTTTGGATTATCACAGACGCCAAGTGACTAGCCACAAATCCACCTACAGATATTACCATGGAAACTCTTACATGCAATATCATGCACTACCTATTTCTCTTTCTGCTTCACAAATATTTTCCAGACCTTGTTCAGCCCAGTTACTTTGCAGCACATCATTATTTTTCATGGAATGACTTCAGTTTTTAAACTGGTGATCACTTTTCCTGTTGAGACCTCAGCAGAAGTTAGAAAGTATCCCTTATAGCAGATAATGTTTTAAATTTAAAATATGTTATTTATGTTTATGCTGGTAGATGTATTGTCGACTGGTCAGAAATGTCATTCTCCCATCAGTAAAGAGTTATGGAATTTTAAGGAGGAAAAAGAACAACATTTTAAAGTGTCCATAAAGTTTGTTTTTATTTTCTTGTCATAGAAATATGTAGAGTCTCCTTAATGTAGTTTTTTAAAAAGTTAAGATGTGATACATCCAAAGATAAAAGCACATATTTTGGCTACTTTGCAAAAACATAAATAACAGTTATTTAATCCTGTTATAAAAAAACCCCTTCGATTTATGGTAAAAGTCCCTTTGGGATATCATAATATTGGTGCATTATGCAGTACACAGATACATTCATATTTAAATTTTTTAAAAAGTTCCTCCTCCACACAGAAAGTCTTTAAGACCCAGCGCTAGAAATTTGGCATCGCTTAGAACTACTTCCTACATCCTTCCATGACACATACCTCAACAGGGCACTTCTGCCCAAAAGGAACTCTAGCCACTGTTTATGTGTGTCCAAGGCTTTGACAGCAGAGGAAACCTTAGAAATTATCTAAGACTAGGACAATTTGGGGAGCATTTCAGGAGATAGACAGACACAGAGAGAGAGATTGATCTGCATCAATTTATCCTTCCCAAAACGAGTGTCCAAGCCTAACTGTTGAGTTGCAGAAAGGTTTTTGTGCACATCCACATAGAAGAGCACAGCAGGTAGAGAGAGGGAGGGAAACAGGAGAGAAGTCTGGACTTCTGGAAAGAGCAAAACCACTCTCACTGAAACTGCGCTCTCCACCCGTCTGCAATGGGAACAGGCGTGGTTTGTACCAAGGAAGTGGAATGTGAAATAGAACGACTGTTCCCAGGTTCATTTCACAGCACAAGGTGTCTAAAATGCCTGAGAATGCTGCCAGCTGGTTCAAGTCACCAAGACACTGTATTACAAACAACTATCAAACTTTCTTATCATAGAAGACACTCTATTACAATTCATGGCAAACTTTCATAATATTCCTTTTTTTTCTTTAAAAAATTTTATTTGGATGCAATTTGCATTGGATGATTTACTACCTGCCAGGATGGACCTGGGTGGGAATGTGGGGTGGGGAAGAAGGCATGGTTGGTAAGTACTCTGAAGTTTCCTCTGTCAAAGAATACACTGAACCCTGTTAACCAGAATATATTTTAGATCATGACAGGTATTTGAACAAATCATTAAAATGGCAACATTTGGCTTTTCAGGAGCACAGAAATAATTCCTGATGGTTTTCAAAGATCAGCAAGGCTCTGGTGACAGCAGACGCATGGTGGCTGGCAGCCAGGAGTGTGACCGGTGACTCAATACACAAGTTTCTGTGGACTCCACAGTCTGGTATGGGAAGGACATCAATTTTTAAGTTTGAGGAATACATAAAAACAAAGGTATTTTTGGTATAAATAGGACACTGTGGAGAAGGTACACTGAGAAGGAAACACTCATGCTGCATCTGTTTGGGATATTTGAACCTCAGCTTTGCCCATTTAAATATTTCTCTTTTAGAATGTATCATTTTTTTTTTTAAATCACAGTTTAAGATTATCAATTTTCAGGCAAAAATTAATAGAAATAAAAATGTTGCCAAACAGTAGTCAAAGTAAGCGGTAGAACCCCACCTTTCTGTGACTTCATTTCAACTCCTAAGGCAATATCCCTGCTAAACAAAGCCAAGAGACAGAAATTCCTCTTTCAAACACAGCTGAATATACACTTTAAATATCTCTGGCAGAACAGAATATATTAAACTTCTATGTATTTAAAAGGCTTAATAAAAACTACAAAAGGTGAGACAAAGAAAACCATCCAAAATGAAGGCTGCACACATCTTGGAAGAAACAATAGCACATTACTTCTGCTAAGGCACAGCTTCAACATCAGGAGAGTCACTGCCCTGTCCTAATTAGAGTGT